TTTAATTTCCTTTAATATTTAGTCATGTAACTAATACTTATTAAACTTAATTTTAGCATGATTTAGTACTTTTAAATTATGATCATTTTCATTATGACTTGTTAATTTGCAATATTTGTTTTACGCGATTTCATTATTATTATTTTTGTTGGATATTTTAGTGTCATTAATCATATCATATTGTGTTATATTTTTAAGAAACATCTTAGATAGTTGTATTTTGGTAGGACTAAAGAAATATTTGAAGTACAAGTAAATTATATGTTGTGTATGAATACTTTACCGGAAAAACCCGAAACAACCCGAAAAATCGAAAAATCCGAAAAAAACTGAGGTTGAAAAACCCGAGTTTTATTGGTTTGGTTTGGTTTATAAATTTAAAAATCCAACACAAATGGTTAGGTTTGATATTTGAAAAACCCGAACCAACCCGGCCATGTACACCCCTAGTGTCAGTGAATAATACAACAGGAGCAAAATACACAAATATTTAATTGTCCAAAAGAAGAAGAAGTTCAAAATTTTCGTTATTTTAAAATGAGAGGAAATTCCTCTATTTATAGACAATAAAAGGTAGTGTGAACAAATGTTTATTGTGTCTTATCAGAAAGGTCACAACTCTTTGAAAAAAGTTTACAACCCTTCGGAAAGGACACAAACTTTCATAAAAGTCACAACTTTTTCATAAAAAGTCGCAACTTTTCATGAAAGTCGCAACTCTTCCTAAAAAGTCGCAATTTTTCATGAAAGGGGAAGGCTAGTTTTGGAAATAAAATAAATTAAAAGAAAATTCTTGTTTGTGATGGCGCTACGTAGGCGGGTTGAGGGCTCTCTTTTATATATATATATATATATATATATGTGATTGATTCCTTGCTGATAAAAAAAAAAAAATCTTCCATCTTCAAGAAAGAAGTCAGTTCATCTTCCCAAAAGTTTCATACATGATACAACAGTGGATCAACTCCTTTCAATAACACAAATTGATTTGAACAATATTTTTAATCTTGAATAAATTAAAGGGAAAATACATAAGTACCCCCCAGCCTATGCCCAAAATCTCTGAGACACACCTAACCTTTACTAAGGTCCTATTACTCAACCGAACTTTTTTATATATAATTTTCTACCCCTTTTTGGCCTACGTGACACTATCTTGTGGGCCAAGTGCGTGTTGACAATTTTTTCAAGGATAGTGCCACGTAGGCCGAAAAGGGGTAGAAAATTAATTAAAAAATAAGTTTGGGGAAGGGGGATTAATAGGACCTTAGTAAAGGTTAGGTGTGTCTCAGGAATTTGGGGCATAGGCTGGGGGGTACTTATGCATTTTCCCTAAATTAAAATCTATTTCAAGAATATTTTCAACCCTAGACAAAGCTACTAAATCAAAATCAAAAGCTTTCCAACAACAATAAATCGATGGTGCACTGGGATATGCTTCAAAATCTTTTTCAATTCATCAAATTCTATTTGAAGAATATTTTCAAACCATTCAACAACAATCTATTTGAGCTTGAAATTTGCAATCCATTTTGAAGCTTGATGTTGTATGCGTCAATGGTGGTAGAATTTTCAACCCCTTTCAACAACAATAAATCAATTTGAATTCAAAATTTTCAATCTATTGTAGACTCACTTCAAAGCTTGAAAGTTTATTTATCAATGGTGAGAGTATATTCAATACCTTTTACCAACAAATCAATTCGAGTTTGAATGTTTCGATTCAATTGCAGACTCAATTTTAAGCTTGAAGTTTTGTCCGTCAATGGTGATAGTATTTTCAACCCTTTTCAACAACAAAAAATCGATTTGAACAAAGAATTGAAATGAGTCTCTTATTTTTCATTGAAAGCACATGCTATTGTGTTTTTGTTTTGGTCAACTTTGGAGAAGGGCTGAAAATAAAGATAATTAAAAAAGAACGTAGAATTTGGGAGTGTTTTTGTTTGGGTACATTATTAAGATGTTAGTGAGTGGGTGGGTAGGTTATAATATATAGGCAGGTTTTTATTAATCTGGGTGGGTCTCTGATTTTGGATTAAAATTAAGTAAAATATCAGGTATGCACAAGATTGGATACATGTCCGTCTATTGGTGTGAAGAATACAAATGCTCCATTTTCTGAACAGCAAGAACCCTAATATCTCAATAGTATAACAAAAGATGTATGTATACCATTTTCAATGGCTAGGGTGTATTTATCCTTTTTCCATACTTTTTATAAGTTCATCCAAACAGGTCATTAATAGTGGGAGTAATAAGAGATATACGATAGAGTTGCTTAATTGCATGAAACGAAACAAACAGGAGATCATATGAAGTCCACAAGTAGCAAAAACCGTAGAGAAGGAAAATGAACTCACAGAAATATAGGCGTCAAGCAGAACGGAAAAACAAGACCTAAAAGAGCATGTAAATATACCAAAGACCATAGGACACAAAGCACGTAAAAAAAGCTAATGAATGGTGCCCCAAGTATATAACATAATAATACAAGGCAACGCAACCATGTCATACACAACAAACTATGATTGAATGATTAATTTTCTTTTGCCAAGGTTTGCTGGGGAGGGGATTATTTCTAGACTACAGACATCTTTGAACCCAACTGTGGGCTCTGATATATAAATATAATACGATACAGTAGGGAGTATCAAGGAAATGCTGGAAACCTTAAGGAGGCACACAATGGCAATCTCTAAGCATTCAGAGCTAACGCGTAGACTGGCATTTTAGCATTGACTCCTTAGGGCAGTGTACTCAACACTGTTAATTCCTCTACCAAAACATATTCACAGAGTAATGCTACATCTCCTTTGAAATCAGGCTGCACAATATAAAATTGTTACATCTGCTTCCAGCTAAATGCATCATTTTAGCCGCAAAAACTCAAGCTCCTGTTAACATAAATATTCATAATAATAAAGCTGTTAGTAATAATATTCTCAATTGTAGAATAAAGACGGGCACAAGCATGCCGCTCAACAAAAAATGCATAGGCCTAGCCATTGCATAGCCCCTTTCAAGTAAACTGTAACTTTAAATCTCCAACTCACAGATCATGCCTAAGCCCAACTTCTAGAATGTTTATAGGAAAAATTACTTGGATGGGTATCTTTTAATAAACAATTACTGATTTTAGCGATCTTTTTATTTATTACCATTTAAAGCAATACTATGATAAATCTGCAATATGTATTAAAAGTGAATTATGTATGCAATAGATATGTATTATAATTGTTTTAAAATATATTATGCTTGTTCGGTGAGAAATTTACACATTATATTAAAATGTGTGATAAAATGTGTGACAAGTATATTATTCATCAATAAAACTTGTATTATATGTGTTTTATAAATTGTTCCCCGTAATATGTATTAAAACCGTATTATAAAGTGATTAAATGAATAAAAAAATGGTATCACTATAAATGGTAAATATTTTCTTAATATAGTATATTTATGTAAGTTTCCCATGTTTATATGCTCGACCACCAACCCACCAAAACAAAAGGGTTGCAAGATTATCGGTGATACTTGAGCTATTTCTGGACCAACTTAATAAATTCTGCAATTCAAAGAAAAGAAGAAACCTGCAGGCTTGTTTTTCCACATCCATTCCTGAGTAGCTTGAATCCCCTGTGAAGAGTAAGAAGATGAGGTGATATGGCAGTCAAATGCACCACAAGAAATTCATCACCCATTATACGTACTGATAGTCCTCAATTTATTCATTAGAGAACTACACCGTAAGCAGCACATCACAAAATAATTGAGGATCCTTTGATCAATCAACTCATTCCTTACTGTTACTACAGATAATGCATTACTCACGCTACATAGTTATACCATATATGTTGGCGAAAAACAAACACCATATATGTTGGCGAAAAACAAACACCATATAAAAATCTATATCATTAAAGATTTTTTTTGGCGAATAAAAGGACAAAAAAAGTTTAAAATCTAGCAGAAAGTTGGATGGCAGAGAACGTAAAGCAGGATACAACAAATGGCCCTTCTGGCTCAATTGAAGCTTACAGGTTTCTTTGAGCATTAATAGAGTGAAGGTTGCACCAAACTGCCTTCACACAAAAGAAGAAATCCCCGTGAGAAAGCAGATTAGGGGTTGAGGAAACAGACATTGGTGATGCCAGCCACTATTTTGCTAATTCAACTTAAAGCCATACTTTAAGTTGAACTCTTATTAGACTAGAGAAAAAACAAAACCAAATAGAGACAAGGAGCACTTGGACCCGGAGAAAACACATACCAATAGAACAGACAATTTTCATCTTTTCCCTTCTCAGCAATTGGTTGTGCTGAGGGGGAGAAATATGGACACAGGTATTTTGTCAAGTACTGTGGCAAGGGACTGTAGAAGCCATGTCAGGGAGAATCTCTCATCTTCAGCACAAAGGGTAATGCAGAAGGCAGGTATCAGCAGAATACAAGCACACAGATGATTTCATTACCAAACACTAAGTTTAAGATATTTCTATATCTTTTAGATACTTCACAAGGATTCAAATTGAAGAGACAAGATGGCAATATATGACTTGGTAGCTGAAGCAGAAGAAAAATGCTCTCAGGCACGTCTATCGAGGATAGGAACTAAACTATTTTCGTTTACAAATGACTTCTTTTTGGGGCACTTGGACGTCATGATCCTTTGGAGGAAACTAGTTTTTCTTCAATCACCCATTAGTGATTGTTTAAAAACTATATATTTTTTTGAGAATTAATACTGTTCATAAACTTGTTTAAAAACTAAATTTAAAGATTAAGGTGGATAACAGAATTTATTTATTGGCTGGTGACAAGTCATTCAAAATTATTACTCCCTCTATCCCTAATTATTGTCCACTTTTGAATTGACACACATATTAAGTAAACAATAATTGACATAGCCATTTTACCCCTATTAATTATGAAGTGGATGAACTAAAAACTTAAAATTTTCAAGAAGTTCTACCTTTTTCAAAATAATTAATTGAGGGTATAATAGGTAAAATATTGTTGTCCTTTCTTGATTTGTCAAAATGGACAAGTAATTAGGGAAAACTATAATAGGAAAAGTGGACAAATAATTAGGGATAGAGAGAGTAATATTATTTCTTTGAGAGTAGATACCAAAAATACTTTTTAATTATTTACCTATTTTACTTTTGATTGATAAAGTTATTTAATATCTACTGCGGGTGAAAATAAATGAAACTAGATGGTGACATGGCTGAAATCGACGTAATTATGGTGCCGTGGTCGGTGGTGTGCCTTTGACAAATGCACATGACCCACTTGAGAGATTTGTTTTTCCTTTTTTGTACACACTTCTTCATTACTAACTAGGGACAGAGGGGGTACAAGTTATCAAAATCAGGAACATGGTACGAATGGTTGGAGCGCAGAAGGAATTTAATCAGGAAGAGTCATGTTGTGGTTTTGTCATTCAATGTGTTTGACTTCGGAGCGGTGTGGCAATCTTCCCAGAAAATGGAATTTCAAAGATCATCTGGCAAACTTCTACCGTTCTCATAAATATAAATAATTTTGGCAGTATTAGTCTAGCACTTATGGTCCTCTTTCAAAGCAAATACAAACATCGATGTGGGAATGGAAGATCATTTTGGATAGATAATTGGCTTGGACAGGGGTCTTTAAAGATCATGTTCCCTGATATCTTCAGTTTAAGCTAACAACAGGATGCAACAGTAAATCAAATAGGGGCCCATCAGAATCGGAACTTGATCTTCAGAAGACCGCAACAGGATTGAGAGATACACAGAGTTGATGAGTTTATTTCTTCTCTGGAGCATTCAAAGGGTTTGAGGAACAAGAGGACAAACTAATCATCTTTTGATGATTTTATCCATACTGGTCAACAAGCTACATTGTGGCCTTGAAAACATATATGGAAAGTCAAAATTACATACTATGTAGCTCTTTTTGTTTGGCTGATCGCTAAAGAAGCCTGCCTGAATGGAGAAAAATTAACAAGAAGGGAAGGGGCATTCAGTTATGCTCAAAATGTCATCTCTAACAGAGTCAAAAAGTAACAGATCTGTTTATTCACCGAGCAATCACTAACCAGCTTTGGCAGCTTTTCTTAAACATGAAAGTTATCAGATGAACAATTCCTAGATTGACTAGTGCATTACTGGCATGTTGGAGAAACTTGGGCAGAGGTACCAGGCAGAAGAACAAATGGAAAATAATACCTGCTTGCATTTGGTGGACTATTAGGACGGAAAGAAATGCAAGATGTTTTGAAGATATACTCAAGTTCCATTCAGAAAATCAAGTTGAACTCTTACTTTTTCATTATGTGTAAAGAAGGCTTCATAGAATATTCTGAGTCTATTTTAGAACTTTAAGAATCTTCGTAAAATCCTCGTAAGTAGCACCAAGGATACACTGATTTTGATGTCACTTTGTTCTGTAAATATGGCAACTAGCACTGCCTTCATTCTGAATTTCTATAATACTCGTAACCTTTATTTTATTAAAAAAGACATGACTTAGCAGTTGATACTGTACATCACAAAATATAAATTCTACATCACCATCCTGGCATATATTTTACTGTGAAGAGAGCCATATTTTCTACAGTTGAGTCAAGAGTGAATGATCTACAAAGATTTAAAAATTATAAGATCAGAACAATGAGAAGCATAATGGTACCTGAATCGGTTGTTGACCTGTCATTCCAACTGGGTACTGGAAAATCAAAAACATATAATAAGAATTCCACTGAAATCCAAGTCCTATAATGAAAAATGGTTAAATAGTAAATACTAACCAGAGTAGCTTGAGAAGCTTGTTGCGATAGTTGAGGGCGGACCTGGGTTGGGGCATATGTTGGAAGCTGACTTCGAGGCTGTGCTTGCATTTCAGGAACTTGTTGGGAAGGAAACCCCTGTGGTTGAGCCTGATTATGAGACTGTTGGACCGACAGTTTTTGCTGTTGTTGTTCATATGATATCAGCTCCTCCGGCTTTTCCCACTAAATTTCAAAAGCAACGATTAATACTTAGTAGGTGGCCTAAAAGTATATAACTCAACCAGCAGGCACTATATAGTAGATGTTTACCCTGCTTTCTCCAGTAGTACTGCTGTAATAGTACTTGAATCCATCAGGAGATGTGTGCTCTGTCCAATTACATTTCACCAGACTTGTAGTCTGGTTCATTCCAGATGTAGCAGGAAGTGCATCTGCTTTTGGTTGGACAGCAGTGGCATTAGGTGCCGCTTGTTGAACAAGCCCAGGCCATGGAGACTGCAGGACAGTATACATTGTCAACAGCTAACCTCAATGTGCACAGTAACATTTACTCTTAATACTCGAATATTATTGAAATATTTATAGTTATGGAAAACACAAACTGAACCCCAACTAGAACTGGCTGAAACAGAACATATTTTGAACCATAGAACACACAGATTTAAAGAGAACAATGGCCAATAAAGACCATATATCATTCCAATACCATGGAAAATTATTTTCAAAAGGAAAAAATTGAGAATCTCAAAATCCTATGTTACAAGAAATTCTATTGTGAAAATATTCTCAAGTGTACCTGTTGTTTAGCATCTTGTGTGCCCTGCTGGACTGCTGAGTTTTGGCTAGATGGTTGCATGAGCTGCAATTGTTGCTGAAGCTGAGTAAAGGTTTGCCGCGATGATTGAAAACTCGCCTGCAGAGTTTGGGTCTGTTGAGACAACATCTGTGCTAGTTGCGAAGGTGGCCGTTGAAGATGTTGGACCGACTGCTGCTGGAAAGGCTGCTGGTTTGCATTTGCAGATGCAGCATGTATTTGCATGTTGTTACTTAAGGGTGTATGTCCAATGACAGGTGTCATATTGCGCTGCACCTGGGACTGAGAAACAGTTGATTGCCCAGTCAAACCAAGCGACTGCTGCGATGGCACTCCCTGACGGAAAGGACTTTGACCAGCAGAGTGGGACATTTGTACTTGATTTGTCTGCCCAAACAAAGCATGAGATGTTGGTCCCTGTGACATAGGTATTGACGCTGGAGGCTGAAACTGCACGGAAGATGGTATATGCTGTGGTGACTGAAGTGGCTTTTGTAGTGAAGAAATTTGTGGGCCAACAGTGGGGAATTGTTGAGCAGACTTGCCAACAAAAGACACAACTTAGCACAAAAACAACGAACACAAACCATTCTTATGATTGAAATAACATTAAGCAAGTTTCTATAAACACATACCAGTTGCGGTGTAGGAGCAGAAGAAGCTGCAAGTCCTGTAAGCATCCCATTTCCAGTGCCATTAACACTCCTGAAGGAGCCACCCTAAAAGTTTGTGCAGGCAGCATTAGAACAACACACCATTTCTATACATGTACAAAGTGTACTTTATATACATATAGAGAAACAATCTTCAGGATATACAATCAACAATTACTCAATCGAGAATTAGTCGAGGTCGATTTCTTCTGGAAATTGCATTTAAATAAGTTGTAGTCAGTAATCACTCATAAAGTAGTCCAATTAAGTATTGTGATACAGCCAAAGGTCACAACCATATACATGCTCTTCTACTTGAATTATGCCTAGCAATAAAGTTGATGCCACTTTAGCTCGCAGTTTGCTATTAGAAGTTCAGAAATATCATTCAGATTAGATCATCAAAACACAAATTGTGTAGAGAAAAACACTCTAAATTAGGCTCTAAAAACACACAATCCTAGAGGAATCAAGCAACAATTTGAACAGGGAACCCTAAAACCTGATGAGTGGAGATAAGAACACAATCACAGAGACATGATCATTTTATGCCTCTGTTCTATAAATTAGTATGTTAGCTTCTAAAAAGACATAGTAACAGATATAAATTATAAAGAAAAATCTTTGAATTTAAGAGTAACATGTGTTTTAAAAAAGTATGAGTAGTTAAGTGTTTGAATGCTACAAGGACAGGTAATAAATAAAATTCCCTCATTAACAAAAGCAGAAATCACCCAAAGAAATTTGACCCAGAATGCAATAAGAAGACATGTTCTGCAGATAAATCCAGGAATATATTACAGGTCTAAGAATTGGTTCTAGTTATATGACTAAAGCATGTAGCACATGGGTGCAGCATCATTTTTGGAGGGTCTGAGCAACATAGACCATGAGGTCTCAAATTCAAATCTCAGCGGAGGTAAAAAAACACTAGGTGATTTCTTCCCATCTGTATTGGTGGGAGGTAGCAGGTACCTGGTGGAATAATCGAGGTGAGTGAAAGTTGGCCCGGACATAACCGTCATTAAAAAATGACCATAGCATGTATTCGTAATAAGGACACTCAATCTAGTTTCCCAGGAAAGGGTAGGTAACAGATGGTGTAGGCCATTTGCAGTAGTCCATCCCTGATGTGTCTCTCTAATTCCAACCTAGCTAGACATTTTCGCAGGTACAAATATATGTCAAAGAACTGACTTGCTTCCCTCTGCAACAACTGACCACCAACACATGCAACAATTGACCACCAACATATGCAACAATTGACCACCAACATACTTAGAGGAAGTACATTACCAAGTTACCCTCGAGCTATATATTATATAGCTTTAGAATTCATTTCATATGAAAGCTTTTGAACCAAAAGGACAAGCACACAATTACATCAACACAGTGCATGATGGCAAAATTTAAACAAATATTGCAACTTTCCCCTCATAAACAGTTAATCTAACGGCAACAGAGGATTCAACATGTTTTCCTTACCAAAGCAGAAGGCACTGTGGTATCAGTGGATCTAGGAGGAAATTGATTTCCAAAACCATGCATCCCTTGGTTGGAAATTGGCCTGAAACCTTCAGGACTCATAGGACGCCAAGCACTAGGACCAACTTGTCCTTGCAAAGGCTCGCCAATATTAGGCGGTGGTCTACATACCAGAGAAAACAAAGAGTCTGAGTTCTAAATATTGCAGAAAACCTCAGTTGCAAATGCAAAAACTTAACTAATACCTAATCCCAGGTGTTGGGAAGCGAGGTCCAACACCAGGTCCACCAAAAGCTGGTCCACCACCTCTGAAAGGAGTGAAAAAGAGTGATAAAGCAAACTATAACTAATTAGCAGAACAACAAATGCACTGGTCAAAGCAAAGCCTACTCAGAACATCTTTGCTTTTATTAAAATAAAGAACATTGGTATCTCATGAAATACCTAGGTTGTTCTCCAGGTTTAGGTCTCTTAGGGTCAGCAAACCGAACAGTTAAAGGTTGATCGCACCCCTGGAATTGTAAAGGCAATTACAAATTGATAAAAGGGTTTAATAATGGTATCAAACAAGACAACTATTAAGATATCACAACCTTACCCTCATTGTATAATTTCCACTCAGAGAGTTTATAGCAGCCATTGCCATATCTCTATTAGAATATTTGACGAATCCACAACCTTCAAAGTAGTTATAGTTAAATTAGCGAGGGTGAATATAAACTACCAACAATAAATCCCAAGACTTCATGCTTGAATTATTGTTGCTAATATTCAGCATCCTTCGGTGCAAGTAATCAAGTACTTAACAGGAACTCATTAAGAGGCTGCTTGATACAAATGGATAAGAATAGTGTTAAATATGGTGTATAAGTAATGCTTGCATTAGTTATGCTGAAATTATTTCTTATGCGATGTTTGATTTGGTGTATTAAAAATAACATGTATTGCATAATTTCTATAGAAAGAAATATTTGTTTAAAAAAAATACCCTCCATAAAATATGATGGAAAGGATGTGACGACGGTTTTGAGGGGCAACTGTCTTTCATCATGCTAATATATGTGCATTAAAACCCACAACATTACTAATACCATGGATTTCCATGTATTAGTTATACATACCTTAATTCCAAATAGAATTGATGCTTCATTAGTTATACATAGGTTGAAAAAGTGTACCAAACAAGGTACTAGTAATACACAAAGCTAATGCATGCATTATTTTTTCTAATGCACTCTACCAAACGACCCCTAAGAGAACAAACCAGGACTATGGAAAAGCTAAGATTATATTTTTCCCTCAGCAAGGAAACGTCTAATTTTTCTTTTTAAACTATTAAATTAGTGAAAACAAAAGGAGTGTGTACTTCCTAGTGATATCTAAGAGAATATTGAAAAATGAAGTGTGAAGACAGGACAACATAACAATATGGCTCCAAAGACCATAATGTATTGTTCAAGATAAAAAAAAATTATATTGGACATCTAAGAAAGGATGAGCCTATAGGTAAATCTTTATAGCTAAAGCACCAATGGAATAGTTCAACAATAGTTTATAAGTCATAAGTTTGCTTCAACCTGAGATATGGAGATCAGAGCCTTCAGGCACTATCAGGGAAAAGAAACTGGGTCTCATCATATAGCAAAAGCACAGGATAAGGTGCACATTCATACAGAATAAAAAAGGAATCAATAACACAAACCACGACTTTGCTTCATATCATCACGCATGAGATAGACATCTTCCACACGACCATATGGTAAAAATATCTGAAAAGAATTGAAAAGAAATATTTAGTAGCTGTTTTTCAATAAAATATGAAAAGAAAACAAAAGCGAATCATTCAGAAAATTGTCAGCATTTCATAATCCATGCCAAATAGGTTGAAAAGAACAAGCTATGTACAGTGTGGTTGTGGTGTCACATTCATATGTCATAATGCAGCTATATGTGCGCATCACCCAATTGAAAAGTTTTCAGCGCCTCACTGGCAAGCAATCACTACTATAATCGATCAACGAAGACAGATGTACATGTATGCATGTTATGAAAATTTAGTTGGGTTTATAGATACAAGGCACAAGCTTTGACTTGTTGAGGCCGTCACATGCTATGCGCGTAGATAGATAGCTATCTATGCAAAAGATAAAATTCCAAACCGAAAAACAGAACATGAGAAAAGAAAAATATATCTTGGTAATGCATGTACATACTTCTTCAACTTCCTTCTCTGTAGCTTGTTTGTTCAGTGACCCAACAAATAACTTGTATTCAACTGCACCTATCAATGGGGAAGAACAAAAAATGTGTAACAAACTAACAAGCATAAAGTCCCTTTCAACCAAGTCACACGAAGTACTATCTGAACTAAAATGTTGAGGTACTTGGTAAAAGAGAGTAAAAATTACCAAGGCGTTCACGTTCACCATCTGCATACCTGACTTGAATAGGACCAATTCCCTGGTTAAATACACAGATGAATTACGAACTAAAAAATGAGCCAAACAATTTTCCAGTATCTCAGCAGTAGAATTTACCCCAGGCAAAGTATATTGATTGTGCAATGCTCTTATAGCTCTATCAGCTTCAGCTGAAGTACCATACTTAATAAAACAACATCCTGCAGAAGTCAAGTTTATATCCTGATATTATCAGATTCCACAAAGCTTCACCAGCAAGTACACACCCGCAAAGAAGAGTACATCATTCAGCAGCATAATACATTAGCAAGTAAACAGAATGGACTTTAAGGGATAGCAAAGGGGTAATAAGTCATTAATATAAAGATGAGAAGTCCATGACAACAAATCATATCGTTTTCTGATACGCAAAAGTAATAGTATAGTTTTAAAGCCCACAAAGCGTCGCACGAACACACATATATGATACTCATTCATTCCATCAACAGTGAAGCATACACGCTGCTTGTTTAAGTTAGCCAAACACACCACCCAAACAGGTAGGAATCTCTAACCGCAGTTATGAGATCCAACCAAGGTCACCTACTTCATTAACCCCCATATAAGACCATTTGAAGCCCCATTGACTTTACAATGTTTGACTATTCAAAGACAAAATTATGATAGTTATCAGCCTCTTCGTCTCAACCTTTCCTCGGTCACTGATGACTGAACTGAGTTGCTGAACTCAGACTTCTCAGAATGCCATTTTAGGCAGTCAGGTTGAAGATAAATGGAACTAAATCAAAGAACTGAGGGAACAATATATTCTGCAATTGTAACATCGATCCAGCATTCTTTTTCATTCAGTTAATTAATCACACAAAAACTAAACTGTAGAAGAGAAGAAGCATGCATGCATTATCCTCCCCAAACATTTGAGAAGTTAATTTAACAAAATACATTCTGTAGAAAGTGAGCAGTGAGCACTATTGATTAACTACAGCATAGAAGCTTGTAATTTTCTTTGTATCTCAGAGCATGCACTTCATAAAATCATAAAGATAAAAGTAAAAAATAAGAGCAGTTGCAACGACAACAACAAGTGTCATCTCAGAAACAAAATTAAAACTAAGGTGGAGAAACAGAGGAAATCTTGCAGCTGAGAACATCATTTGAAAATTAAAAGTTCAAATAGCACAAAACTTAATATAAATCCAAATACTCTAAGTGGGTGTTCTTCCACTTAATCATACAACATGAATGGGGCTTAACCATACACCACCTTTCATGTATGTAGTACAATCAAAGATTGCATAAATCAGGACAAGGTATGCAACTTATCACCGAAAACATTCAATCAAATATCATTATAGCCTGACGAAGATCAATTAACAAACACCTATAAAGAAGTGAATGAAGGCCAGAAATGGGGAACTGCATCAAAGCCCAAGAAGCAGACAATGGAAATAACTTAAATATGCAAAGCACAAAACAGAAACCAAAGTGAGAACCCCGTCACTGAAAATCAGTAACCTGACTCACTAGAGAATTAACTCATCAGCACCACTTTAACTGAAATACCTTTAGAATAAAAAACTTGTACTTCCCTGATTTTAGCCTAGTGACAGGCATCAAACATCTTTCATATCACTATTACTCTTTTTCTGATACAGTTTCTACAGACCCTAGTAACTTTAGTGGTGAAACTGTTTTCATCCCATGCAGTGTTGACCAACCATGTCATTCATGCAACTGCTCTGTCAAATTTTTAACTCTAGCCACCTTTTGTGGCATAATGATGACATATGGCAAAAATTAAAATATAGAAATTCTCAAGGTCCAAATCATACACTCACTACCATGTGTATAAAGCAGGACCTTATTATGACGGTCCCCTGCAGACAAAATAATATGTTGTTTGATAGAGCTCAATAAAGTCATGAGCAAAATAATCTGTTGTTTGATGGGATGCATATGAAGCTCAACAAAGCTCAATAAACACACCTACTATGCACCCCATGGGTTTTGGTAATGGAAAAGCATCACAGGGACTCGCAATTAATGTACACAATTAACCACACCAGTAGAACGAAGCCAACCATATATAATCTAATATATCTTATGAGGGAAATTGCTAAAGCAGCCTGCATTGATAATGAACTACATCAAGAAAATTACACATACATATCCATTAATGTACTCAAATATTATATCGACCATGCCACCACACAGCAAAAAGCAGTGTGCGCAACCCTGTTTGTTCTATAAGGGTGTCACAACCCAGTTTGTTCTATAAGGGTGTCACAGCCCTGTAATGGAACAAAATCTAGAATATACACAACGTGGCATACGATGCACATGCATTTTGTTAATGAACAACTACCATTACTTCTGACAATTGTTATTGACCACGAAGCCAAAACTCAAAATCAACCACACCAAGAGGATTACATAAATTAATAATTAAATTAAAACACCTTCTAGTGCATTATCATAAGAACCTCATTCACCCATGAACATCATCGAACAAACATTAAGAAGCATTCAGTGAAGAGCTCACTCGCATCGGGGTAAATAATGCAAGATAATTCACAAGGCCCCTATCAGCACAAGCAATAAATTGAAGATGGAATATTAATATCCTAAACATCACATTCATCCTGGTATATGTTTGAAAAATCCTGGGGATACATTCAAATACGCGATATTGCACCAAAAAAAAGAGAAAATGGCAATGTCATGTCATCCAGGTATCTACCAACCAGACACACTCATTCATCACGCACTGCATGTTGCAAATGATAAGCATACGGACGTATCGAGGAACTATTAACTAAAGGAGGGTGTGGCTTCAAAATCAACCATACGCATTCAACTGACCAGGATATGAATGGAGAAGAATAAATGTCTAAATACACATAGCACTACAGAATGATTTCACTAGCATCTCAAATCAGCATCTAGCAGCCATGTCAGCCTCAGCACTCTGATTAAAGAGATACTCTATTTATTTGTTCTGTTGTTTGTTGTCATACGCCAACCACTGATAAGATAAACTTCAGATGAGATCTAGGAAAGCCTCAATAAGTCAATCATTCTCCGGAAGTGAAAAGTAGATGATATTAGACTGTTAATTAATACGGTAATTTACCAAGGAAATAGTTTGCAATTCATCACTCACTTCTAAAGAGATATGCTAAACATCCAGCTGGACACACCATTTCTATTTGATGATCCAACTTCACATCCACAATTGGATTACTTTAGAGTCAAGCATGCATCAACATGATGAATTTCCACATCTACAACAACTGAATAAATCATATCACTACCCCAATGGAATAGAAGTTGGGCACATCACTAGGTAATAATCCAAATGTCAATCATTTCAAGTGATGTACATCCAGACATTCCACAAAGTAAACACAGAAAACAGTTGCGCTCACATAACCTATACAATAATCATACTCTAATTTCTCCAACTGACGCCTATACTACAAAACAAGAACCTTTCTTCACTATTGTCAACTTCCACAGGAAGGTTGATTCACAAGTTTTATTCTCGTCTTCTCTTTGGTTGACAGGATGAACGCAAAAGACAGTTGCAATCAATACCAGGCATCCAGACAATTGTGGAAAACAAACTGACATCAAACATGATCTTATACTGCTCGTTCAGCCCTCAAAGGTCCTGAAAAGAGACATGTAGATCCAAAGCAAATCTGCAAAAAAAAAATCTAGCAATACATACCTTGTTGTTGCCCAGTTCTCTTATCTTTGATGAAAGCAACCTCGAGAACTCGTCCTTGTTCCTCAAACAAAGGTCGGATCTGACATCAAACAAGAATGATCAGCTAATTGGACTGAGAGATGAGGAAGAATACCAAGCACATTCTGAAATGATACAGGTTGAATAAAAGGAAAAGATCGGATGGCAGCATTCTTGGCAAACAATATGCATTGACGTGTAGAAGTTAAAAGGAAGCATATCCAGTGAAAATGAACTTCCTAGAGCATACAGGTCATGGCAAGCAAAATCATAGTGGCAAACTTGTCACAGGCATGACCATTGCTCAGAAAATGCTCAGCTCAACTACTTTCTCTTAAGAGATATCAACATCAACTGCAAGTTATCAATCAATCCGAATACCAACATATTATGTGTCCCTTCGCAACATAGTTTATTCTTCCCTCTTTGACAGGATATCAAGATCAATAGTTTGCTGACACAGAGAACTAAGTACATGCCAATTAGGATATAAAATATGGTAAAGAAGAGAGGTGCATGATCCGGAAATCTAGGAAGCAAATATAGTAGGAACCAGAACACAAAATACTAGTGTCACCTATTATGAGTACTAATAACAATGAGGGAAAACAAGACAAATGACAAGTTTAAAGATTAACAAGGACTTACATCTTCTTCAGTTGCCGTTCTTGGGACAGATCCAACAAAAAGTTTGGCAAAACCAGCTTCATCAACTTGTTCTGAATGAATATGGATAACAATGAATACACTAAAAATAATATTTAAAAAACAAAAACAGAAAAACAAGCAGAGAAAAATTAAAGACCTATCACGTGTTAATTATATACTAAGAGAATAACAAATGTCACAGAACACCCTTAACAGAACAAAGGATCTGCATTACATTGACCAAGCAATATACGATTGCCTTTTAGTCAACAAATTTCATACATATCTATTAAAAGAAAAACATTTGACCAACAATATCTTACAAAAGTATGCCTACAAGTAACTACTACAATATATACACAGGATTTCCAGTTAAAAGAACCATGATGCTAGACATTTTGATCTAGGAAGTACATAAGAGACATCTGAATAGAATAATATATCACTTAGAATATTCTTCAGGCTCGAGGTGCACATAGAACTAGAGGACAAAGGCGGGGATAAAAAGTTGTACATGTTAGCCAAGGCAAGGGAGAAGATGACACGTGACCTGGACCAAGTTAAGTGCATCAAGGATGAGGACATCAAAGTACTGGAGGAGGAAACACTCATTAGACGGAGATGATGGACATCAAAGTACTAGAGGACGAAACACTCATTAGACAAAGATGACAGTCATACTTCCATGAACTCTTGAATAAGGGGGGTGACCGAGACATTGCGTTGGGGGATCTGGATCACTCCAAGAGGAGTCGTGATTTTGGGTAATGTAGGTGTATAGAGGTGGTGGAGGTCACGGGTGGTATTTGTAGGATGTGTAGGGGAAAAGCATTCAAGCCTAATGAGATCCCAGTGAAATTTTGGAAGTGTCTAGGCAGGGCAGGTATGGAGTGGCCGACTAGGTTGTTTAATGTCATTTTCGGACAACGAAGATTCCAAAAATGGAGGTGGCATACAATGATACAAGAACAAGGGAGACATTCAGAATTGCAACAATTATAGAGCCATAGAGGTATCAAGTTGTTGAGTCACACTATGAAGATTTGGGAGAGAGTGGTGGAGCTTAGGGTAAGTATAAGTGTGTCTTTTTCCAAACACCAATTCGGATTCATGTCAGAGCACTCAACTACAAAAGGCATACATCTAGTATGGAGACTAGTGGACCAATATAGGGAGAGAAGAGGGACTTATATATGGTGTTCATCGATCTATAAAAGGCATACGACAAAGTCTCACGAGAGGTTCTATGGAGATGCTTGGAGGCTAGAGGTGTACTTGTTGCATATACTAGGGCAATCAAGGACATGTTTAATGAAGCCACGACCAGGGTAAAGATAGTGGGAGGAGACTCGAAGCACTTTCTCGTTGTGATGGGGTTGCACCAAGGGTCAGCTCTTAGCCCTATTTTCATTTGCCTTGGCTGTGGGAGTTAACGCTAAGTTAGAGGTATGGAGAAAAACCCTGGATTTTAAAGGACCAACATCAAAACAAAATATATGAAGTTCAAAATCAGTGACGCAATGCATGAGGCTGAAATAGAAGTGAAGCTTGATACACAAGTCATCCAAAAGAGGTAGCTCCAAGTATCTTGGGTTTAATATCCAAGGAAATACGAGATAAACGAGGGTATCACTCACCATATGGATGTAGGGTGGATGAAGTGGAAGCTAGCATCCGAAGTCATATGTGATAAGAAGATGTCACCAAAACATAAATGTAAGTTCTACAGGGTGGTGGTTAGACCAACTATGTTGTACGAGGTGGAGTGTTGGCCAGTCAAGAACCCTCACATTCAAAAGATAGGTTGAAGAAATGAGGATGTTACGATGGATATGTGATATACTAGAAGTTAGGATTAGAAATGAGGAAATTCGAGACAAAATGGGAGTGACTTTAGTAGAAGATAAGATGCAAAAAGCAAGATTGAGATGATTTGAACATGTGAAGAGGATATGCACGGCTGCCCCTGTGTGGAGGTGTGAGAGGTTGGCTATGGACGATTTTAGGAGAGGTAGAGGTAGACCAAAGAAGTATTGGGGAGAGGTGAGTAGACATGACATGACACAACTTTAGCTTATCGAGGACATGACCTTAGATAAGAGGGTGAGGAGGACACGAATTAGATAGAAGGTTAATAGGCAACAGTGTGTTGTCTTGTTGCACGTTCATACTAATAGTCGTAGTATTGCTCATGTAGTTTTTCGTCCTTTTATTTCTATTACTATCTGTTGATTCTTTGTACCTTGATTATCATATTGTTTTATTATAGTTTATATTTTGTTACTATCTATTGTTTTAGTTATTATTTATTGTTTCATGTACTTTTGTTACTTCTTTTTCTTTTTTTGGACTGTTGTATTAATCATTTAACCATTTGATTACGTTTGTTTTATCTTGTCTCGAGTGTAATACTAGCTAGTAGGTATACATCACAACCTCAGCCTTAAGGTCCTTAACTATTAATTTCTAATTTATTTTATTTTTATGACAAGGGAAACTCACAGCCGCTACCCTTTGGGTGCGCACAGGGTAAAACTCCGCTCCTATGCAATAGCTCACAAATCACATAGGAGAGGTAACCCACACTAGGCAAACCCGGTGCGACGAGCTTGACCCAGAAGGCAAACCCCTTACTTTCGTTGGCAAGGGGTTTCGAACTTGAGACCTCCAGCATGGAAGTCTCAAGCCCAAACCACTAGGCCACCCCGAAGGGTACTATTAATTTCTATTTTTGGGGGGGTTTTTTTTAGTAAGCCTTAAGGTCCTTGACTACCAACATCATAAAGAACATATCAATAATTTTTCCTTTTGGATATAGCGGGACGAGGTTAAATAAAATGAAAATTCTTCTTTTAGAGACTCAAATTAAAATTGCACATAGTAGCAAACGAATTGTGCTTGAAAGTACAAAAACTAATTGGGCGTTCAAATGTATCCTTCCATCAAATCTATATAAAATCACATACGATTCATTGGGGAGATAAAGAAATAGAGCGAACCAAGTACATGTGTCTTACCCTTTCAAGGAAGGGGAAAAAATGACATTATATATATAACATATTTAAATAGAAAATAAACAAATCCTATTTTTGAAAAATCCTATTTTGAGTGGATTTAAAATGAATTAGAATTACGAAATAGGATTCTAGGGATAAGGAATAAATTAAACAAACAAACCATGGATAATCCAAGCGACCTTTTCGTAGGCGTTTGCCCCCGATTCAATCAGGGGATCAAATTGGATTATAGAAACATGAGTTTAATTAGTCGATTTATTAGTGAACAGGGAAAAATATTATCAAGACGCGTGAATAGATTGACCTTGAAACAACAACGATTAATTACTCTTGCTATAAAACAAGCTCGTATTTTATCTTTGTTACCTTTTCTCAATAATGAGAAACAATTTGAAAGAACCGAGTCGACCACTAGAACTACTGGTTTTAAAGCCCGAAATAAATAGGCTTACTTTTTCTTCACTTGAATCATAATTACAAGAATCTAGATTCATCTGTTATCCATTCCACTATACCAAGTAAATTTTGTTCCAATTCTAAATAATCCACATTCAACTTACCAGTAATAAAGAAGAAAAATAAAAATGAGGATAAACTTTAAGGTATACCTGGAGACGGGTAACCCCGTTTTTGCCCCGAAAGAGGATGAGGCGGTGGTGGCATCTGGTAACCCGAATGCAACCTTCCAGAATCAACCCCACCACCACCACCACCAGTAGCAGCAGTAGTATCAGTAGGGTGCCGAGGAGGGCTATTGAAGGCCCGGTGGTGACGGGGGCCACGGTATTCCTCCGGACTTCGACGATGATGATGTTGAGGGTTCCCAGAACCATCAGAAAAAGTTCTAGGAGATGGAGGACCCCTTGAATGGTTGTATTGAAATGGGTCTGAGTTGTACCTCTCTCCTTTGTGTCTATCCATGGAAATTGGGTTCACGAATACAGCTATTCTTGAGGATTATAGAGAAAAAGGGTTCGAGAATTGGGACTCATAAACCCTAGAGTTGTTTGTGCTAAACCTATACTGAACGAAGAAGCTATGTATGTACTTTGTGTTTAGTCGATGACGGAAGTGATATCTGTGATTTGATTATCGCAGAGCAAACTGACGTCGTTCCGCTTGGACGAGCATACAATGTATCTTCTCCTTTCCATACTTGTTTGTGATTGTTATTAAAAATTGTTTATTTTTAGACATTGAAAAAAAAATATATATTTAAAAAGTGTTTTAACATGATGATATAAATATAATTAAAAATATCAAATAAAATAAATTTAAAAACTATTCCACAAATGAACTAAGTTCATATGAAAAATTCAACACAAAAATAAGTAAGTATGAGATATATATTGGTTATATGTATATATGACAGAGATATTTTGGTTTTGAAAAAGAAAACTAATTTGCTAGCTTCGGCTTTTGGTTTTTTTTTCGAAGTGTAAAATTTTAGCTTTTTTTCAATAGCAGAAAACTGTTTTTGCTTCCATTTAAAAGCAGTTTTACTTATTAGTCAAACACTCTGATTTTTCAAGAAAAGTGTTTTTTTCTCAAAATAAAGTATATAAGCTTTTAGTTTATTCCCAATAACAAAAAAATTGTCTCTGCTTCTAATTAAATAACCTTTTCTCTTCCCCATTCTTTATTCTTTCTCCCTCTAAAATTTTCATAATTAATTTATAATTTGAAATTTTGATTTTGATTCTTCATGGGTTTTAGGAGAACATGTAGGATCCTTCTTTAAAAATGTAGAAGATAAACTGTTTTGTTTTAGTTTCTTTTAGGGAAAAGAGTCTGAAAAATACTCCAACTTTGGCCGAAATTGTTGTTACGATACCAAACTTTATGGAGGACCTTTTACCCTCTGCACTATTTAATAGTGTATTTTAAAGGTATATATGTGCCCACGTGGACACATTACTATTTAAAATGATGCAATATTTATGATGTCCACGTAGACACATATATATCTTTAAAATACACTATTAAATAGTACAGGGGGT